ATATCTGACATGGCTCTTCCATTGAGCAAGTCTGGCCACCTCTGGATTATATCAAGCGAACACAAGCTTAAATGAACTGCAGACAGAAGTAAAACATCTATTTTTGGATCCTTAGACAGATCAATAAGTGACAATAAGGGCAACTTTTCAAACACAAGAAAAGCCTTATACTCCAGTCAAGTTACTGCATTATTTCCACTTCTTTTGTTTCTTGTGCTTGAACAGAGAATTTAGTAGCTTCAAGATTCATTCCCAAAAGGCTCAACAAGAGACCTGAATTTCACCTCTACTAATCAGCACTTTTCAGGTTGGGTTAAAAAAAACCCAAAAACAGATCTGTGAGGAAAGAGGATAAACAAACACGTGAAAATGCCTTTTTAAACAGAAAATATAGAGACTGAAATAATACTACAAAAATGGTAACAATGATAATAAAGTTCCATTTTGGCTCCAATTACTGGCTGAGAAGTTAAAATTGAAAAATGAAATATGTTACTTTGTTTGATCAAGTGAGCTTGTGATAGCCTAGCAAAGGTAAGCTAAGCCAGTATTTCAACACAGCCATGTGGAATAACTGCATAGAACTTTTATGGGCTGTCCAAAACAAAACCAACATGCTGTGCACCAAGGTAGACAGCATCTAAAACAACTGATAACACAAGGTTCATCTACTCATGAAGGAGGGCATCTCAAATACAATAGAAACAACCTTTTTGAATGTCATACTACCATATGAGATAGTTCTCTGATTCTACAGCTGGTACTCTAAACCAGTGATTTTCAACTTTTCCACAGCTGGGGATCAGTGAAAACAGGGAAACAACCTCAGGGACCACTGAGGCAGAAACAAAAGCACCATAAAGATGATACAGTATTCTGTGTATTAATTTCTAAACACAATACCAAAAAAATGAAAATTCTCCAAAACCAGAAACCGAGCAACAAAAAATGCCAACAAAAGAACAAAATACTGAAATTGGCTCCCAAACAGCTCCCACTGAGCCTTCTCTCCCCTCTCTGGCCCCCTTGGCGGCACTGGCACACCATCATGATGCAACCGAGGAAGAGGTGGTGGAGCACAGCCTTCCTCCATGGTTCATGGAGAGTGGGATGCATCCCCCCCCCCAATCAACCAGCAGGAAATCCACTGCTCTAAACACCTTAAGTCTTGTCTCAGAACCTTGAAAAAACTGTAAAGTACACAGCTACAATGGAACTGGGAAAACGTTTGTTTTGCTTTTCTCACATCTGTGCTTCCTAGAACTCTTCCCTGCCCAATCCATTTCCCCTGTTGTCCTTCTCACTCAAACTCCACCCTCTGTGTTAGTGAAAAATTTTTCAAGGCGCATCTACAAACCTGTGCATATGCTTGAGATTTGCATTTCTTAAAGGGATTTTTAACTTTAGCAAAAGGATGTCTGCCAGGAGGAATCAAATGACACACACACACACACACACACACACACAGGCTTCTTCAGTAACAGAAGGATTTATTAAACACATGGAAGAATGTAAGTAGTGCCCTCATTGATTGGGAAAATTAACTTGGTAAAACACTGGTGAATCAAAACAAGCAAAGCATACACAACATGCAAGAACCCCTCAGTGAATGTCAAAAGAAGCAGACTGTGTGGAAACTAGCTTTGTTCTGTCAGCTGAATTAGAGGGCTTTGGTGCGTATGGCTCGGCTATGAACATGCATGAATAGTCCACGTGTTGATCAGGAGGAAACTTGTGAGTGTGAAGAGACTGAGGAGTGGAAATTAAGTAAATCAGACTTACTAACACTCTTGAGAAAGAAAAAGAAAGGTTTGGCTGAGCTTGCAATAGGGAAATTGCTTGGGAGAGGTTTGTCCTAACATAAGGAGCACTGCATTGAACCTAAGTCCTGAGGTATTCACAGCAATGAATGGGATGGTCGAAGGAAGTCACTGAGAACTCAAAAACACATTTGCTCTAATTGCTAGTGCTGTATCCATTTCCTAATTTCTGCTTCTAGAAACCTAGTTCCTCCCAAAAAATGTTAAAGCTATGAAATCTTCCTGAAAACAGGCCCTGCTCAGGTGCAGCACCCATATATGTGTGATGCACAGAGACAACAGAAAAATTGGGACTCCAAAATACAGCGCATATCAAGATACCATCTCCAATGAAGTGAAGTGGGCGGGGGGGGGTGAACTTTCTCAAATAAAATAATGGGAGTTTCAACCATGATTCTTCCCACTAGTTGAACAGGGGAAGCTGGGGGTCCAGTCAAACATCATTCAAAATTAGATTAAATTTATATATGTGCATTATAAAAATATATATTTTGTACATGTACATTATAGAAAATGTTAATTTGAATTGATCTAACCTCATACTGGAAACTTTAAACACATGAATGCATATATAACTACATTATCATTACTCTTATTTTCCAGCTATTGGATTTTTATTTTGATTTGGTTAACAAAAACTCTGTAAAACTTGGACATCATTGGTAGGAAGTTCTTAACAGTAATTTTAGTTTAAGTTCAGAATCACCAGCCATTTCTCGCTTGTTTTAATGTCTGTGCCGTTCTGGATATTTTCTTTTTGATGGAGGATTACAAATAATAAAAGCAATTGTATATGAATATTCATAGTTCTACTAGGTTGACATGGTCAGATTAGCAGAGCCATTATGTAAGACTATTCTGATGGTCCTCTTCCTCCTGTGGCTTCCTCAAAGATATCTTGCAGTGGAAGGTGCATTTGAATTGCCAACCCTTTTGGGCAATTTATAGTGCTTGCCCCATTTAATATTTGACTACTCCTCTGGATCATATACTGTTTCAGTCCACTTTATTTGCTTGCTGCTTCT